CAAACAGCAGTATTTTGGAGGAAGACTTAGATGTTGTTCATCACCTACAACCCAAAGTTGTGATCTTCTCAAGTCTCCCAAGTTAAGTAGCATCAATTGAGATCAGAACTAATACAGCTACCCCTCTGATAAAAGGAAGCCTAGGTGTTTCAGGAAGTGGTATTGGTAATTTAGCAGTTGTTACTTTTCATTCTGAATCATTTCTGAGCCAATATCTTCACCATGATAAGGGAGCCTAACTAGCCAGTCATCTGCTCTGTCCCTGTTGCTATTAATTCAAAGAAAGATACACTCTCAAGATAAAGAATTCTTGGCCAAATTCTGGCTGAAGCTTGCTCCCAGATTATAGCGTCAAGTATCAGGGGGTAGCCATGTTAGTCTGTATCTACAAACACGACAAGGAGTCTGGTGGCACCTTAAAGACTAACAGATTTATTTGGGCATAAGCTTTCGTGGGTAAAAACCTCACTTCTTCAGATGCATAGAGTGAAAGTTACAGATGCAGGCATTATATACTGACACATGGAGAGCAGGGAGTTACTTCGCAAGTGGAGAACCAGTGTTGACAGGGCCAACTCAATCAGGGTGGATGTAGTCCACTCCCAATAATAGATGAGGAGGTGTCAATTCCAGGAGAGGAAAAGCTGTTTCTGTAATGAGCCATCCACTCCCAGTCTCTATTCAAGCCCAGATTAATGGTGTTAAATTTGCAAATGAATTTTAGTTCTGCTGTTTCTCTTTGAAGTCTGTTTCTGAAGTTTTTTTGTTCAATGATAGTGACTTTTAAATCTGTAATAGAATGACCAGGGAGATTGAAGTGTTCACTTACTGGCTTATGTATGTTACCATTCCTGATGTCCGATTTGTGTCCATTTATTCATTTGCGGAGGGACTGTCCGGTTTGGCCAATGTACATGGCAGAGGGGCATTGCTGGCACATGGTGGCATATATAACATTAGTGGAAGTGCAGGTGAATGAGCCCTTGATGGTGTGGCTGATGTGGTTGGGTCCTCTGATGGTGTTGCCAGAGTAGATATGGGGATACTCAGCAGGCATTTAGGAATAATGGTTTCCAATATGGCGGGGCACTTCTTCCATCATGCTGAGTAGTAACACATAAAAGGAGTTTTGAAGACAAAAATTAAAACATAAAAATGTAGGGTTGAAAGGGACCTTGAAAGGTCATCAAGTCCAGCCTCCTGCACTGAGGCAGAACCACATAAACCTAGATCATTCCTCACAGGTGTGTTTGTCCAACCTGTTCTTAAAAACCTCCAATGACAGAGATTCCACAACTTCCCTTGGAAGCCTATGCCAGAACTTAGTGACCTGTATAGTTACTCTGACCGCGGAGACATGGCCACCATCTAATCTTGTCTCTTAACTTGTCACTGAATGTGTTCCAGTTCGGTGCTATCTTCTTCCTGCTTCAATAATTTCATTTCAGTGACTTTGGATACACTTACTCAGTGTTTTAGCTACCTGGATTAAATGTATGGATTAACCAACTTTCACAGCTATGGATGATAGTGTCATGCTACCCACTAGGTTCATAAAATGGAAAAAAATAAATTCAATACATCAGAGAAAGAACCAAAGAGTTAGAGAATCAAATTGACAGGGATAATCTGCGCTTAATTGGAATTCTGGAGGGCTTGGAAAGATTTGAACCTGTGGCCTTTTTTGAATCTTGTATATCCCAAAATGGGTGTGAATATACTCAATGGTAATATTGTAATTGATAGATCACACTGTGAACACCATTGAAGTTGCCTCTTCCAAGACAAAGAGAAAATACAACTAGCAGCTAGAAAGATGAGGGGAGAGTAAGATTGACAATAGCATGGTTTGGGTTTTCCGTGATTCATGGCAGGCATAATAGCCAAGTGTAGGAAATGTAATTATGTTTGCACACAACTATGTACCAAAGATATTAAATTCACTATTGGGTATACTTCTGCTTTGAAAATATTGGGACCCTCCATTGCACCTTCACTTCTGTATCTGCATAAGAAGCAGGCCAGTATCTGCTGGAGGATTATTCAAAGGAAGATAAGTAATAATAGTTCTAGTTACTGCCTTTTGTTTTTGTTTTCAACATGTTATGTTATACTAAGTCAGTTACATTGCTTACTGGTTGCTAGGGACCTCCTGTTATGGATCTCACTGTAGGCAGTGCTTTCCCATTTGTTCTCTCTGTTACAGACATACAAGCATACCCCTTTCCTTCTTCTTTTCCATGTTCTTCCTCTGTTAACCTTCCTCTTTCTCATTTGTCTGAGATGTAGTTTATATTGTTCTATTTTTTCATTCTGGGCACAAAGCCACATGGCATTTAAACCTTCATATCAAGCCACCTACAGTACCATTCTTATACTGAAATAAAGTTTTATGCAGATAGTATGTTACATCCTTGCCGTAAAAGCTGCATTGGCTTTCACAAAATTTCAGCATGGATTTTAAGGTGGTGGTGAAGAGGGACTACTTGTGTGCTTAAAGTTAGGCCTGTGCTTAAGAACCGTGCTGGATCAAGGCCTTCGACCCCTTACCCTATACCTTACATTTCCTGATGAAACTAAATAAAAAACAATATAGAAGTACCTTGCTGAACTAAGGCCTAAATGACCTCGGCTTGGATACCTGAAGAAACTTCTCTCTGATGGATACCATGGCAGTTGAAATCAGTGGAGCTGCTTGAACTGAGCTCTCCTGGTTTAAAAGGGAGAAGGGGCTGCTGCAGGGCAATTTTTGTGAGGGGGCTGCCAGTGACTTTGGAATTTCTTCCCTTAGACCAACAGATCCTGAATTTGTCAAAGCATGCTGTGGCACTTCTCTATTTTCTAATATTTTTTGGGGGGAGAGAGAGGTGTCACTCCTCTGGGAGTCACTGGTAGGTTTAAATGGCATCAGTGGCAGAGTCAATGTATTAAGCAAATTTATCTTGTGTGTTCAGTATTTGTACAGGTGCATAGCATTTGGATATGCACTTTTAATAATACATTAAAGAAATATAATAAAATAAAATTGGAGGCTGGGCTCAGGCCTCTCTAAAAATTGGGCCCATTAAGGTTGAATTTAAAAAAACAAAATCCTTTCCCCCCCTCAAATAGTTCTCCACCAGGTGTGGTGGTGTAGTTCCCTCCCACACAGCTATGTTACATTTAAAATGTGAAGACTAAAAATAGTGAAAGAAAATATTCTGTATTTTCCATCTAAAAGATTTCTTGGCACAAGCCACCTTTTGTAGTAGATGTTCTTTTCAAGAGAAAAAAAAATCAGTTGCTATATTAGCTGTATACGTTTTTTTTTAATTGGTTATTGACTTCATTTGAGACTTAACTGTATTTGTTCTTTCTATTTTTTTTGTTAAATAAGTATTCTAGCTTCAATATTATGATAAACCAGTATTATAAACATTACCGTTAATAGTTCAGTATTTTAGTCCTCCACAAATTAATGCCTGTGGTAGATGGATGATTTTAGGCTTGTTCTTGTAAACAAGGCCTCAGTGATGTGTAAGGAAAAGCAACATGTGGCAAAAAGCTCCACATTTACCAAGGTAAGCTGTATAAATGGGGTATAGGAATCTCCTGTTAGATCAAAAATCTTGCAGAAAAAAATCTCCAGAGTCTACAAATTAAAGACCTCCAATATCATTTTTAAATAAAGCCTTTTATGTAGTATGAGAATTTTTTTTCAGTTGATAGTCAAATGACACTATTATGCAGACTTACTAGATTTGCAAATTTACAAGTTTTTACAAGTCAGTTGGGTCCCTTCCTCAGGAAATCAGTTTAAGTTTTTTTTCCTGTATTGACACAAAGAGCCTAGTTGTCTTTAAATCCTTATGAATATATTTGCCTTATAATTTGACGGCATTGAGTCAAAACCCTTATAGGGACTGTAATGCAATAAAAAGAGAAACTGTTCAATATAGCTTCCAGTTATCCTAGGATCAGATTTGGAGAAATTGGAGTGTACACAATAAAACCTGTACAAGACTTGAGTTCCATGTTGTGTTTTAAGCACCCAGTGCATTTCAATGAAACATATTGTTTAACAGCTTTGCTCTACTTCCAATGGGTATATAAAGGGAAAAATGAAAATAATGCACACCACTCTTAAAATATGTATTTTTATGTTGTTTAATACAGCTTTCTGAAGTATATCTTTGTAGAATTGAAAACTTCACTTACAAATAAATGAATGTCAATATTTATTCAGGTTTCAGAGTGGTAGCCGTGTTAGTCTGTATCAGCAAAAAGAACGAGGAGTACTTGTGGAACCTTAGAGACTAACAAATTTATTTGGGCATAAGCTTTCGTGGGCTAAAACCCACTTCATCAGATACATGCAGTGGAAAATACAGTAGGAAGATATATATGCATACATCTGATGAAGGGGTTTTAGCCCATGAAAGCTTATGACCGAATAGATTTGTTAATATTTATTCAGTGTGATTTTAGTGGATTTAAATGTAATAGATATTTTTGCTGTACCACTTTGTATTAACATTCTTTATAACTCATTTACATTTTTAATTTGGAAGCAAACTATATGGAAGCAGAGATGTATCTTTAAACTTTACCTTTATTTTGCAACAGTATTTGAATAACATTAGGATTTTCATAGTGTATCACATTTGCATGCAGAACATTTGGGGCTTAGTTTTACCCTCAGACTCACGTACATGGCTCCTAATAGAGACAATGGGATCTGCATGTATGCGCCTGAGCATGGAATTTGGCCTTTATTTTTAAATGAGTTTATTGCATTTCACAGTTCAATTTTTATTGTAATTTATTTTTACATGTACACACAGAAATTTCAAGTAATGGGTTATTTTTCCTTTAGCAAATAATTATAAAAACAAAAGGTTTTCATTTGTATGAAGGAAAGATTGTATCTGTTGTAAGCATTTTCAAGGAATAACTGCTGAGACCGTTATCTAAATAAATGGGCTCCATTATAATAATTTCTCCTTTGAACCTTTTTATAGTTGATTTGGAGCACATGCGAACAGTGAAAACTGACAAACACCAACGATTTTGCCAGGAAAATGGTTTCAGTAGCCATTTTGTGTCAGCCAAGACAGGCGATTCTGTAAGTAAGACAAATCAAATAATTATAATTTTTTTAGAAAACTGTAACTCTGGAATGTGATGTGGTAAGTTCACTGCACTCCAACTATCAAGCTATGCAGAACTTCAGTCACTGCAGAGTGCACCTGCTTGCCTAGCGGAGTAGATCATCAGTATAGTATGTTATAATTATGCTTTGTTAATTACAATGATGTCTCATCTGCTTTGAAATTCCACATATTGGCTCTAATCTATAAATGGTTTGAGATCTGGCTACCTTGCACACTGCCTCTTTGTCTTCTATGCATAGCATGACAGCTGTGATGAGCTGAATCTCTCTTTGCTGCCAGTCTAGTCTCTAGGAGTATTGTCTTGAAGTCTGGAGACAGTATTTTCAGTAGAGAATCCCTAGCCAACAGATACACTCCCTCTGGTGGTTCATTGAAGCTTAATTTACTGATCTTCGGAACACGATTAAAAATGCATTTTTGGTTCATTATTTGACTGTGAACCATAATCGGGCTAGTGTGGTTGGTTAGATGAGAAAGGAAGAACTTTTGTGCAAACTATAACAGGCAATTTAAATAAACATGGTGTTGTGTTTAACTTTTGTTACACATCTTGATATTATGGCAATGGGCATGAAAAGCCATAAAAACAATCTCACTATCTCCTTAGTGGAAGTCATCATATTTAATAAATGATTTACTACCCTGGCTAGATCATTAAATAATAAATAATAATAAAATAAACAATAAAAATATTTTTTAATGTACAAAATGAATTATGTTTTAAAAATGGAGTAATCAAACATTGTGGTTTAAGTTTCTTATTCAAAGAACATAAAATTATAATAAAATTCAAAAATTAATCTTATAGGTTTGTGATAGAGGTTATTAAGTTATGACTATCAACATTTCTGTTATAAACACAGATTACGCTGGTCTACAATTTTTGAGAAGTCGTCTGCTTCAGAGATAAAATGTGCTATTTATTATGTATTTT